GGCAGGCCCCCGGCACGGCTCTGCCTTGGCTCTTGCTAGGGGGGTGGTGGTGTTTTTAATTTCTGCCTAGATCCAATGTCCTGCTCTGAAAGGGAGATGTCTTGCTAAGGAGGAAAAAAAAAAGAGAAAAAAGAAGTCTTGTGCTCTGCTTTGCTTCTGTGTGGTGTTTAAGGAGTCCGATTTGTTTCGCCCTTTTTGTAACCCTGAACTGTCAGTGCTACCAGGTTAGTTGTGCTGCAGAGGGTTATTGTTGGAGAGCCGAAATACTTGGGGAAAAGCGATGAGGTTTTCCTGTAATCACTGATCCTACTGACTCCTACGGCGTCCGTACCGAAAGGGTTTGCCAGGCTGTTTCAAAGCGTTTGAATTCAACTGGTGTTAATAAAAATAATTTCAAAGGTTTTGAGCAACTGGATTAAAAACCTTTCCTCTGTTTTAACGCAGAGGGCTTTACAGAACGCGTATGGCTGGGAGCTGCAGAGGCTCGTGACACCTGGACAAAGAATTTCTTCTAGCGTAAAGGACCTAAGTAAAAAAGCACTCTTAAATAATTAACAGAGCTATCAGTACCCCTGGGTAAGGGTTAAACCCAGAGCTCAGGGAAGCCAATAAATCCTGCCCTTTCAGGTCCCATAAAAACAGGCTATTTAGGACACAACACCACTGAGGAGAGAGAAATAATTCTCACGAAAGTGAACGTCAGGAGAGATCCTATCAATAGGATTAGAAGGCCAGACGATATCCTTACCAGTACTACCAGTACACTGAATTTGATGGTGCTGCTCGCAGGCACCTCCTCGGAGGCTCTGGTCCACAGTTTGGCGTTTGCGGGCAAAGGGCAAAATACAGGCTTGCATTGCAACCGACACTGCGGGTTTCCAGGTTATAGATCTTTCTTCCCTCTCCTCTCTGCCCCCGCCAAAAAAATTGCACTAGATATTTTGAGTAGAAACAGGAAGATGAAATCTGCAGCTTTTATATAGCTCCTACCCTTTCCCTCTCTCACTAGTCCCCCTTTAGAAGCTATTAAACACTTGGTTAGCACTGCCAGGCTCCGCGCAAGAGACACTCAGCCGTTGAGCAGCAAGCAGGTGGTGCCATTGGCCCACTTTGGTGCATACCTCCTACCTACGCCACACGGATGCATTCATTGAAGTTGCTTTGGAAATTTTAAAAAAAGGAAGCTATTTGTAGGAATGAATATATTGGGGGAATGACTTTGCAAGGCCTGGGACAGCTCAATGAGTTTCAAAGCTAAAATCGATTCAACTAGCTAGAGCTCAGAGATGAAGTCTTTCACCAGGTCCAAATCATCTTTAGCTTTTTGATTGCTTCCTAAACTTCTTCAGTTTGCATTGCAGTATTTCCTGTGTGACTTCACAAGGATTTGCAGTCCATAAACTATGTTTTACTCTTTACATACCAGTAACACATCTCACTCAAATTCTGTTTTTCACCAGAAGCTCTCGCAGCGCTTCCCGGCGGTGTGCATTAATAGCGGCATTTGGATTCCCAAGGGAAACCAAGTCACAAGAATTACCTCGGCCAGCCTCCAGCCTGCCCGCTGACGGGGAGGGATTTCGTCTGGGCTGGTTCCTAGAGCTCTCTGAGCAGGGAGCGGGTGTTCGCAGACCATCTCCTACGCTGCCTCTCCATCCTGGAGTCTGGCGTTCCCACTGCTTCCAAAAATCAGGACCGAGGCCCTCGAGCCGGGCAGCTGGCACCCAGGAATCAGCAGCCAGAAGGGCCTTTTAGGAACGCGAGCCTGGTCACCGCGAGTCAGCGACGGAGCTGGGATCGAAGGCAGCTCTCCTCGTTCCCTGGCTCCGGCGGCGGCGCGCTACGTAACCTCCTAGCCAAACCTCTTTTCCGAGCTGAAACGGCAAAGGAAGACCAAAGACAAATTCCTTAATTACCTGAGATTCACTGCTGGCATCTGAGCCCTGTCTGCCTGGGCAGGAAGGGGAGATGGTATTTCGAGTGCCAGAAATTTAAGAAGCAGTAACTCTCAAGCCTACAACTGACTGTAACATGCTGACATCTGGCTGAAACTCTTGGCAGTTCACTTGGGCGACGCCGAAACGCTCCTGCAGTTCTGCTAAGAAATAAAGAGAGCCAGACAAGTGCCAGCTCTATAAATGGCTCTCACCCGCAGAGCGCGTCAGGCCTCCTGACAGATAGACATCTTGCAGCCTGGTGCCATTTGGTCTATTGTAGTCTCAGTGACATGTTAAATGTTTGAAGATTAAGTAGGCTTTTCAAGCAGGCTTTTGACTCTATGAGACAGTCCTTCTTACTAGCGCTTTCTTGTACGTTTTGAATTGCTGGTTTATTTTGTCTATTTTTAATCCAATCCCTTGCTTCAGACTCATTCTCAAAGTGCAAACTGTGCTCTCATCCATAGGGACTTTTTTTCAAAAGCGATTATTTTGATAAATATTTGTGTTCAGCTTCCTACCAATCCAAAATCCCCAAGGGAAAATTATCTCCGGGAAATCTATTGTTCTTCAACAGATTAAGTTTGGAGTTTCTGAAGATCCAAATCCCAGCACTTTATTCTGCCAAGGTGGGAAAACTAAGTATGTGCAGGGCAAGTCTCACCCCGCCTGCTGTTACTAACCTTTGGGTTCTCTGTTTCTTCTTTAGAAGTAAATGGTAACACTGGCCAACTCTTCCCCACCCCCCTTTTTTTTTTCTCATCTCCTTCTTATGTGCTTGCTTTCCACAGAAATGATTGCATTTCTGCATTTGAGGAACTTTGGAATAAAAGGTACTGTGTACACAGCAGTAATCAGCAATGTAATTAAATGATCGATGGTTAACTTACAATGTGCCTTAACACTGCCACTTGGGATAAGACGTTTGAACCAAAAGTTGCTGTCCCATTTTACCTCTAAGATGACTTAAGCAGAAAATATAACTTCTAATCTTCTTAATCAATTCTGTTTAATTTAGCATTGGGGCACCTGTGATAAGCCGGTCACCAGCACATTTCCCAGGGAGAAGAAACTACAGAAAACAGTTGTGCGTGGCTCTATCGAGAGTGCTGGGGATTAAAGAAGCCAGGGACCAACAGCCACCATCTGCGACATTTTGGAGCCTTTGACAACTGAGAATAAGGGATGTTTTCTGCCATTTGATGGGCTGCTTCTGACAGTCATTAGTTTCCACCTCACAAGGTGAGCAGGATCATTTCACACGCGGCTCAGCTGATCCAGGGCTATATGCTGCGGACCTGGAACAGACAGCCGCAATTTTTTAAAACATGGCACGGGGGCTGGAGGAAGTAAACCTAAGAGCAGATCGATATCTGGGAAATTTCTGCAGGATTTTGGGACTGCGCCCTTCCTCAGCGAAGGACTGGCAGTGAAATATAACTAGGGGCATCTGCCTCACCCAGGCACCCTGGGAAGATTAGATATACGTGAATGTGACTCCAAAATCCAGCAGTTCCAGCTGCAGAAAGTAGGCAGCTAGTACCTGGCTGTAGCTTTCATTGGACTTGCACTGATTTAGGCTTGGCTTTAGAGGGCAAGTAGACAGTTACCCACTGAGCATTGCTAGCCTGAAGTGGTGATCTATAGGAGATAATTTGAATGTTAAATACCTCATGTTTTTGGAGTCAGTAGAAAGCTAACG